TGTTTGTTTTCTTGGCAGTCCATGGTACATTCAATACTCTTTCTCCAGCACCATAGCTCAAAGGCATCAATTCTCCTTCTATCCTTCCTAGTCATCGTCCAACTTTCTGATGCATAACAAGTGATTGGAAAGCCCATGGCCTGTATCAGACACACCTTGAGTGACATCATTGCTCTTCAGTACCCTGGAGAGGTCCCTAACAGCAGACTTTCCCATGGCAATATTTTTTTTTTAATATCCTGGCTACTGGTGCCAAGAGTGTTGACTGTGTAGCCAAGCAGACTAAAGTTGTTAACAATCTCAATCTCTTCACCATTCATCCTGGTGCTACCAATTGGTCCAGTGGTAAGAATCTTTGTCTTCTTGACATTGAGCCTCAGTCCTTACTGAAGGCTACAGTCCTTGACCCTCTGCAGCAAGCACTTCAGGTCTTCCTCAGTTTCAGAAAGCAGGGTTGTGTCATCTGCATAATGCAGATTGTTAATAGATCTTCCACAAATCCTGACACCACACTTCTCCTCATAGAGCCCAGCCTCCCAGATCATCTGTTCTGCATACAGGTTGAAAAGCTATGGAGACAGGACATGTTTCTGGCATACGCCATTCCCAACTTTGAACCATGCAGTATTTCCCTGCTCTTTTCTGACGACCGCCTCTTGGTCCAAGTGTAGGCATGATAAAGTGTTCTGGGATTCCCATTCTTCTCAGAGTCAGCCACAGTTTGTTATGATCCACACAGTCAAACACCTTTGCATAATCAATAAAACACAGACAGGCATTCTTCTGGTATTCCCTGCTTTCAGCTAAGATCCATCTAACATCAGCTACAATATCCCTAGTACCATGACCCCTTCTAAACCCAGCCTGGACTTCTGGCAGTTCTCTGCTGATGTGCTGTTCCAGTCAGTTTCGGATAATATTCAGTAGAATCTTGCTTGCATGTGAAATCAATGAGATTGTTCTATAGTTTCCACACTCTGTTGGGTCACCCTTCTTTGAGATGGGAACAAATATAGATCTCTTCCAGTCAGTAGGTCAAGTGGTTGTTCTTCAGATTTCTTGGCACAACTTGGTGAGAGTATCTAGGGTATCATCTGTTAGCTCAAATATGTCAACTGGTATACCATCTATTCCTGGGGCCTTATTTTTTGCTATTTCCTTCAAAGCAGCTTGAACTTCTTCCTTCATCACCAATAGGCTCTTTCTCATATGTTGTTTCATGAAATTCTTCTGTGTATACTAATTCCTTTTGATACAGTGACTCAGTATATTCTTTCCATCTTCTTTTAATACTTCTGGGATCATTTAATATTCTGCCTAAAGCATCCGTGATTATAGCAACTTGAGGTTTGAATTTGTTCTTCAGTTCCTTGAGTGTAATTCATCAGTATCATACTACTCAGCCTAAAGAAGAAAAAGAGCAACAAACCACTATAAAATACTTCATGCTCTTAACTATTAAAAAAAAAAACCCACCGAAGTGTCTCTATTCTGGAGCTCCTAAGTGATACAAACAGTTAACATGCTCAGCTAACTGAAAGGCTGGTGGCTTTAGTTCATCCAGAAGAAAGCCTAGCAATCTACTTTTGAAAAATCAACCACTGCAATCTCTATGTAAAAAAAACTGTACTCTTACACACAAGGAAGCCAAGGGTTAGAATCAACCACAAATGGTACCTCTATTCTAGAACAATAGAGCACACATATAATCAGACCAAAGAAAGAACATTTTGACTACTAAGAATATTACAAGACCTGGAATAAAATAATCATAAGACATCAAAATGAGGTTCTTATCGTTCTTATACTTTTGGACTGAGAAGAAAGGTTTGAAGAAGACTGTATCAAAAGTACTTTCTGCACCTTAAGGGAGCTCTGGTGGCCTAGTGGCAAGAAGCTGGACTGCAAGCCCAGAGGTACATGGTTCAAATCCACCAGATGCTCTGCTGGATAAGGAGGGGCACTCTCCTCCTGTAGCAGTCATATCTGATTTGACAGTACACAAACAACAAAAAAATTTATTAAAAATTACTTTCTGCACCTCAACAAGAAAAAGGTAAACAACCCAACCACAAAATGGGCATAAGATATGAACAGACACTTCACCAAAGATGACATTCAGATGGTAAACAAATACATGAAGAAAAGTTCAAAATTCCTAGGTATTAGAGAGATGCAAATCCAAACAACTATGAGATACCATCTCCCCTGAGCAATAATACAGCAACGTTCAACAAGGCAGCACACAACAAATACTGGAAGGGTGGTGGAGACATTAGAACTCTCATTATCTGCTAGTGGGAATGTAAAATGATTCTTTCACTATGGAAGAGCATCTGGTGCTTTCTCAAAAGCTTGGAAACAGAAATACCATTTGACCCTGCATTTCCACTACTGGGAATATACCCTAAAGAAACCAGAGCCACGACTAAAACAGGTGTATGCACACCCATGGAGGTTTTCCCCCCCACACCCATGTTTATTGCCGCATTATTCACAGAGCAAAGAGATGGAAGCAATCCAAGTGCCCAACAAAAGAATGGATAGAAAAACTATGGTACATTCAGACAATGGAATGTTATGGAATGTATTGAAAAACAATATACTTGCAAAATATTACACAATATGAGGGAGCCTGGAGGATATTGATGTTGTTGTTGTTAGGTGCTGTCAAGTACAACTCACATAAAATCTCTGAACAACAGATCTGAAACCCATTCTATCCTGTGCTATCTTCACACTTCCTGACACATCAGAACCCATTACGGCAATCACCTTGTCAATCCACCTGGTTAAGGGTCTTCCTTTCCTTCTCTAACTCTCTTCCCTTCCAAGCATCATGTCCCTCTCCAAGGAATAGCCCCTCCTAGTAACATGCTC